AGTCCGACGTGTTCACCGTGGGATCAGGTGTGCTTGTGCCACACTTCCATGAAGAAAACCCGTCCACCTACCTTGCGCTACTTGGGTTTATTCTGTACGGCCTGGCATGAAACAGGGAAAAAACAAAACGAAAGCATCCCTTGTTTCTCGCCGAGTTCCAGCCCTGTAGCATGAAGAAGGACGCCTTCGCCCCGCATGCCCCGTGGTATTCCAAACCGCTTCCACGTTCCAGAACGCCCCGGCCCGGCGGAGGGTGGACTCGGTCTTAGAGGGGATACCCTTCAAGCAAGTGTTTTTGGTGTAGCACTTGGTAGATAGGGGTTATAGACTATACCTGATTTTTTAAAAAATATCACTTACTGTAAATCTTTGTAATTATGCTATACCTGTCACCAAGCCCTCGTTCCCTCCGACACCCTTTCGGACATCGCACCTGAATCGCCTGGACGGCGCTCGTGGCCAGAGGCCGTGCTGTGGCAACTCCCTTTGAGCGCTTTGGTGCGGCCAGCGCTGCGGTTTGTGAATTTGGCACCATACGTGAGCGAGGTGGGGAGGAGAGATGTGCTGGAGAGATGCCGCATGAGGGTCAAAGATAAACACAGCCGGAAGGCCCCAGGTATTGGCGTGATTACTTGTCTTGTGGATATGTTTGGGATCGTTTGGGAGCCAGGGGGGATTCGATGTATGCATCAATTTCAGTGTCATTTCAATTGATTACGTTGGTTACCAGATGCCATGTCATTGTAACCAATATTGGCAACCCACTTGGCTATGGCCATCGAACTTCCAATCGAAGCTGGGCTCGAGTATTGACGTGTCCCACCTTCGGGCAGAAGTGGCAACATATGTAACTGCTTTCCCTCGTCACAGATTGCATGGTTTCAGACGATCGACAGCAACCTGTGTAACACAAAAAGTTTGGTACCAACTACTCCATTCCATCTCTTTCTGCTCCAAGTCCACCTTACGGACGAGCCGCAGTGGCGCCGTGGCTCGTCCGTTTACGGCCGCTTCTCCGGACCAGTCGGTGCAGGAGAAGCGGAGCGTGGCCTATCCACCCCATGGGCCTCCGCTCGGAGAGGATGTGCAGCTGGACGCCGTCGCACGGGTTTGAGTTTGGAGAGCAACCGGCGCGGACGGTGGAGGTTGATTTGGGCCAGAATGGTGGTTTTTGGAAGAAGGTGGGGGGACCCAAGGCACGGTGAGTTCCTGCTTTGTTTGTGGATTCTAGATGGTAAAGGCCGGTCTTCTGAACAGTTGCGGTTTAAATTCGAGATGTGTTGGATTGATATCGATGGATCACTTCATGACTTCAATCAAGAGAGGGAGCTGGTTTGAGGCCCCGTCTGAGGTAACTGTTTCTCTGTGTTTGGGCCGGTGCAGAGGTTTATCGAGGTTTCTCTGTGGGGTGAGTGTGGAGGACTTGAGTACCACAGAGATGGTAAAGTAGAGACCAAATGAATCATACATGAAGTGCAGCCAGTGAAGCGTCAATTGAAACTGTGTTTGCCTAGGACTTACCGCATTTGACCACTATAAATATATGTCTTTGACAGGAATGACTTGCCTTTGACCAGAATGACCTCTTCTTGACTGTCCGAAAAGGCGTATTCTATAGACCCTAAGGTCCTTTTGGTATTTAAAGGGGATTTCTTCCTAAACCATCCTAAACCACTCAAGGTTCAACCCCTTAGCAGCCCGGGAACCCGAGCAAGCCGGACCGCCCGGACCGGGCTCGACTCGAAGCCGGATGTCCCAGGTCTGGATCCGTCGCAAGTCCACCAACCCGCCTTTGCACTTGCAATTCACCGTGAAACATCTGGTCACGGAGGGCTTGGCCGCGAAGTGTGGGGTACAGACTGGGTGGCAGGCGAGAGAAGGAACAGTTTCAGATAATAGTTTGATATTATATATTATTATTGTGGTTTTTTTCTTTTCCTTTTTTGTGTTTCTTCTTCTCACCTTAAAAAATCATTGTTCCGTTGTCTTTTCTTCTTCTTCTTCTTCTTCTCGTGTGACCAGGGAAAGAAAGGGCTTGAACCGATTTCCAGAGATTCCATGCAATGTTTGATTTGCCACCATTGGGGTAGTTGACAGGTGAGGCCTTTAGGTACAATTCCATGGATTGGAACATGGGAGCCAATGACTCAGGCTACTGAATGCTTTGCATCAGCCAGGCGATTGCCCTCTCTCCTTCCACTAGACGAGTCTCGCGTGCACCGTCTCTCGTGTGGTACGTGGTACGTGGTACGTGGTGGCAGGTCACTTGTCTTCTGAATCCTATCGATGACGAGGAGTCCGTTTTAGCCGGTGGGGGTTTGATCGCATTGTTGTCTTGCGGGCATGTAATGGAGCAGATACATTCACGGTCCGTTTTGCGTGAGTTGATCCTGTATTGGAGTACCAATTGATGATCTACCCTGAGGCTGCAAAATACCTTCTCAGATGTGACCCTCCCAACCCATGCCACATACCTTCTCAGCAGGTAGTTCGACTACCAGTCATCTAAAATAATCTAAACTCATTTTCCAATGTCATTGGGAAGGGCCAGTCTCTATGGCTCTGGACAGCCAGCGGGATGTCCCAGACTTGTTTGATTGATTTTCTTTGCCAAGACATTCAATTTTGGACGAAAGCGCAGATACGTATAATATAGTATAATGCAATACTCAGCTTTTTGGAAGCTTCTTTTCGTGCTCGCAGCCCAGAAGAACTGTGTTTCCTGGTGGCAGAAGGTCCCCATGTTTCTTGAATCGGGACGCCAGTGATCCCAACGGGACGCTCTGCGGATGACCACTGAAGTGAATGAATGTGTGAAATGTGGAGAGTCAACACATCTGTGTTAATCGAATCGCACCATGCAATGAAGTTGGGAATCGATCCGTGGTTTTGAAGACAATATTTTATCATACGCTAAGGATCCACTGCCACCTCCTCAGAAGGTACGTCAGGGCCCTCCAAGGCCTATATATTTCTACCCTAGGGATCCAAGTACCTTCTCAGAAGGTACTTGGACCCTCCAAACCTACATAACAGTGTCTCCGTCCTCACCTAACCTGAGAAGGTACGACTGGATCCCTAGGGCTGGGTGCCAGTACCTCACCGTACCTCAGGTTAGGTGCCAGTGCATCCGGGATCAACCGTGATCCAGCTCCATCCAAAGCCTGGAACTCTGTACCTGGACCAGATCCCTCGAAAGGCCTCTCGCCCTTTTTTTTGGGTATAGCTGGTCCAACCAACGGGGCCTTCCAGAAAAAATAGCTCGACTCAAGGGAGAAATCCGCTCCGCCTTCGCTCCGCCATCCCGCAGGACCCCCTGCCTTGGCTCGTCTCCGAGATCCGCCGCCACCGCGGCGACGACGACAGCGACGGCGACGGCGCCCCAGCGCCGCGACCCAGCGCTGCGGTGGCATTGGAGCAGCTGCGGAAGGTGCGCGGCGTGGAGGTGGTTTTCGAGGCACCACGAGAGGAGCACCGAGTTCGTTTCACGCGGAGTTCGGGTGCTCCGGGGGCATTTGGAACGTGAGGAACGTGAGGAACGAGAAACAACGTGAGGATGAAGGCGAGGTTTATGACGACGTTAGGTTCTGGTGGGGTACCCATGATGGTGCTCAAAGACTATATATGGATCTTTATATTATTGGCCAACTTAACAAACAATGAGTCTGGGCCTTGTTTGGACACGTGCACCTGGTTGTCAAGCCACTTGTCCTCAGGAGCCCGACTCCAGCGAGGAACCTTGCGACGAACATGGCTGAGGACGAACATGGTCAGTCGATTGTGCACGTGTTCAGCACTTAAAGATGAGCAGTTTTTTAAACCCCTATGCAGGTGCAGTGCCCATTCTTCAACCATCTTCAACCTTTATGTTGGTGATGTGTGTGGTTAGCCTTTTGCTTCTTGTTGAGGAAACTTGAGGGGCGGAAGCAGTCAAAGTATGTCAAAGTCCTGTGAATGCAACATCCAAGCCAGTGAGTCCGAAATTTTTGAAAGCAGGACAGAATGTTGTTCAGCAACATGAAAGTCATGATGTCAGGTTGTGTTCTTTCAAGAACTTGTTCCTAGGTGTTTTGTTCTTTAGTGTCCAAACAGTTGAGGATCATAAATTTCATTAAGCTGTTATTGATAGATTGATTCATTACTGCAAATCATAAATATATCGATAAATATATCTACATAATCAATACGTATCGTTTCCTCAAAAGAACAGCAGCTATACCTTAAGCAAATCCAAGACGGACCTCGGCTGATTCACCAGTTCACCAGGAACCCCCCAGCGGCCAGCGCAGCGCGGCGAAGCAATGCTCTCCGTGGTTGAACAGAGTGAAACAACATGCTGCGTCAGTGGGCATTGGACACAAACAGAGTCCAGACACGACTTGTCTGGGACTGGCAGTCTGCCGTCCGGGGGTGGAAAAAGGGGTCTGGGGCGGCATATATGTAGTGGTCTGGGACCAGAAGGAAAGCATGGTTGTTTTTGAGTGTGACTGAGTGTGTAATTCCCTAGGGCTGGGGTGGGTTTAGAGGATCCAGATACCTTCTGAGGAGGTACGACTGGAGCCCCTAGGGATTGAATCTGGAGACCCCCGAGATCTCGCCCGAACCCTGACCAGTCACCAGTCGATTTCCCGAACCCCGCCGAACCGGGTTCCGACGCCGGGGGGTCCGTCGACGTCGTCTCACACCCACATGCTGAGCATCCGTCGATGGGTCACCAACTGAAATAGACATCGCGACATCGACACTATGGGTCCAGTCATCGAGAGGTCAGTGGGAGGCAGCACTTTGAAGAACCATGGTTATGTTGTTCTTGTTTCTACTTGCTGGATGTTTGTTGGGAAGGTTGTGTTCCCCGGTGATATTACTCCAGTCCTAGCTCCGTTTCGATGGTTGTTGGGGTGGGTGAGGAGATAGGCCGGGCCGTTCGCCCGAGGCAACCGTTAGAGCCAGTAAGGCCTTCTCATGGGCCGTGCCAGACCTGTTTCACCAGACGTGTCCAGGGGGGCGAAATCAGCTACGATGATGAGGCGAGCTCCGGTTCGCGAGGGAGCAGCTACGATGGGTAGCCCTGAGGTGGAGGTCCTCATGCCTCATGAGGAGACTTCCTCATGATGAGGACCATGTGACCCAACTGTTTTTTGGAACGGAACTGAATTAGTTGTAGCACTGGAAGTGCCATGAAGATGGCAAAGGCGACCTCAAATGGCCGTAGGTTTTTGTTGAATGGGACTCAACTAAAGCTAGTGGGATTCAAGTAGAGCTTGTAATCTTCGAAAGCTGGTACAACATGAGTTTGGATGATCACTTCCTGATCTTCCGGTTGCAGCCTGTAGGGCTGGAATACCCTGAGTTGCTATTTGGTAAGTGAAGCCCCTGCTCTTCACCGATTTAAGTGGGCGCCAAACACCCAGCACTGCCGCACTGCCACACCCTCTGGACGCCCGCCACTCTGCAGACTCAGCCTGATCCAGGTGGAGTTGGTGGACGAGTCCGGGAACTACCTGCAACAAATCCGCCCACAGATGGGTGGTTTGGCCCACCCAGTCAGGCAGTCAGGTGAGGTTTGATGTTTCAGGTTTGTGATGTACGAGTATACCCTCCAACGAACATGGTGACGTGGAACATGGTCTCTTGGAGTGTTCAGTTTTCCGAATACCCAAACCGGTTTGCCACTTCCATGATGGTTTCAGGGACCGGATGGTCGGATGGTATAGATTAATTAGTACGTGCCCTCTGCACCAGCTCTGGTGCAAAAGAGAGGTTTTTTGAACAAAACCTGGTTTCTGACTTGTCGACCTATCATTAATTATCGATAGTTTTGAAAGCCAGCGTCAAGTCCTGCTGGCACCCCAGTTCCGGGCCGGCCGACCGACCCATCGACCCGATTTCGGCGTCCGGCTCGGCGTGCTTTTCCTGGTCGTGTGGTGAATGGCTTTGAATCAGCGGGAAGTCTGGGCGACTGACGGTGTTCAGGCCACAAGACCCCAGCAACTCCGCTTCGGGTCGACCCTGCAACTCGCGACACGAACAGATTTTGACTGAGTACCTCGACCTTCCACCGCGGGCGTTTCTTGCAAGCACCTCCGGCCGAAACCCTGGGTTTCCGCTGACTCGAGTCGACTCGCGATCGTCCTGTGCTGTCCACGTGATCGTTGCCCCGGTCGAGAGCACTACGATGTGAATTTCATGCCGTGGATTCAGGTACGAGGTGCAAAACAGCCTATAATTAATTGGCTGATATTGGCGGTCTTTCTGTTTTTCCTATGCGGGGAGTGAACGAAGCACTGTCCGGACGTTTAGAAGGGCACCATGTCTATACCAGCTATGTCCAGGCCACAGCAGAGGCATTCACCGACTGACTATGACACCAGAACTGGGATCCAGCACGATCCACTGACACCACGGGCACCCCGAGCAACCTGAGAGAGTTTTCAGGACCATTCTTCGTGCCGTCGAAGCTGGAAACCCGATGCGGCGAAACTGCGAGGTCGGAACCGGATGCGGAACGTGGGTCTCCACACTATCGAGCAGGGAGTCACAGACCTCGCGGCTGCGCCGTGTGCTTTTCGTTCATGCTGCGCTGAAGGCAGCCTGCGGTTGGCAGGTTGGGGATGAACATCAAGGATTGCAGGCGAAGAACCTGAGCGGGTCCACAACTGGTGGGCCTTGGGATGGCCCCAGAGTTTTTCTCCAGGTTATTGAGTTCACTCTAGAGAACAGGTCAACGACATTCGAAGACCTCATCTTAATCTAGAGTTGTTGATTTAAAGCAGTACTCAGTGCAACAAGGTAAAGCACCAGGTTTTATTCGGGTCTTTGGACCTGTATACGGAACGGAAAAGGCACATATAATACCCAGACACTCCATGGGACTGCCATATATGCCGCCACATTGACCCCCAAAACCACCCCAACTGATCGGCAGTCCTATGGCAGTCCCATGGGTCGTGTCTGGGATAAACGAGGTTTCAGATGGTCCCCCACTGGAACTTGGCTTCACCAGCTTCACTGCTATACCGCTGAGATCCTTCCTTCCCGGGGAACATGGAGGCGCATGGTCTAAGCGGAGGGAACATGGATCTTTCGACGATTTCCCATCCATTGCAATGTGTGTTATATGAGTGCAAGAAGAAGTGCGGTTGCTGAGCCAGGGCTACGAACCACTGGCTCGTAATGTTATATGAGTGCCATGGGGAAGATAGGAGAATGCCTGAAGAAAAAGGGTATGCACATCTGTTTTTGTTAAAGAGCATTGGAATGTGCCCGTTGCTTTTTTGAGTTAAGGGACTTGATTTGTGAGGATCCATGAGGCTTTATTTTTTGTCCTTGGGGCTCTACATTTTATAGACAAAAGATGATAAAAGCTGACTCGTGCCTAGTAGGGAATGAGGGAATGAACCACCCCTGTAGGCCCCATCAGGATCCAGCCACCCATATTCCCATATTCCAGCACCAGTCATGATCAAAGTCTGGTGGTTTTTTCTGCGTTCTGAGGATCTACTACCCGCAGTTTTACTTCAAGCAGACCGAGATGGAAGAGTTTGATGCCAGGCGCGTCCAAGCGATGCCAGGCGTACGCGCTGCCAACACCCACGATCCGAACATCGATGATCCTCCCGAGATCCAAACGATGGGGCTGCCAGCTGTGAAGCTGCCAGCTTCACTTTTGGTTCCAGGCTGGGCTGAAGGGACTTTTGAGGTGTTGGACGGGATCTACGTAATCCGAATAGTATACACTAACCATCACTAAGCCTAGTCTAATGACCGTCCATGTATTCCATACATGGACGGTCTGGGCAGCTTGGATTTCATCCCTCCGTTCCCGCCAGGCCGGATCGCTATGGTCCCTCGGTGATCGGCAAGTACACCAAAGGCCCGCGAGCTATGCTCCGCCGCGGGAGCTCCGTACAGCCCGGGCTGTCGCGGGAAGAGCTGGGTTTTTAGATGTTTTGAGCGAGGAAAGAGGCTTCTCAGGAGCCATGATGAGGCATCAATGGTCAATGGTCTTTTCTTCCAATTAAGGGCAGTGATCGCCATTGGGATGCCATTCCTCCAGATTGCTGCCTGCCAACAAGATGCTGTGAGCTTGGGAACCAGCTCTTCCCGAGTTGGCTGTGAGCCTTAATTATATAGGGAGGGGTATTTATTTTTGGATTTTTTTTTGTTTCTTTTTTTTTTTTTTCGTGGCTTCTGGCTTCTGGCTTCTGTGGCTTCTGGCTTTTGTGGCTTTTGGCTTCTGTGGCTTCTGGCTTTTGTGGCTTTTGGCTTTCGTGGCTTTCGTGGCTTCTGTGGCTTTTGGCTTTTGTGGCTTTTGTCTTTTTGGCCTATCCATCTATCTGTCTATACCTATCTATTTATCTATCTATCTTTCTTTCTTTCTTTTGGCAGCTGTTCTCCTTTCTCTTTTTGTATTTGCTTTTCCTGTTGTTTTAGTTGCAGAGACGAAACCAAACAACCTGAACCCTTGAAAGTGCAATAATTTCTGTACGTTTGGCATTTCTATCCTTTTGGGCCGTTTGGAACACTTCAATGCCAATCTAAACGATTCAAGCCAAAACTGTACACTCCAAAGCAAAACTGGACGTTTTCGTAAATGACTCCCACCAGCAAGCACATCTATGCTTGGTGCATGATCACCTATGTACGAATCTTTGAGCCATACGAGGAGTTGATCAAGAGTTGTACGATACAATATCATGACTTCGGCTCTTTGAGTGTGTAGTACACTTCTAGCCAATTGCCACCCTGGGTACTTGTCAACCTACAGGATATGGTGAAACTTCAAGATTGCCGTATGTGGCAAGCATTCACACTAGTTTGCTCCATCCCACGAGCTCCAGGTCAAATCTTCTCATGATGCTAGGCCACTAAATTGCTAAATTTGAAACTGCACAGAAATCCCACTTTGTGCACTCTTGCGGGGTTTTGCGTACTTTTTGCGGATATTTGCGTATTCTTTGCGGATATTTGCGTACGGTTCTTTTGTGGTTGTGCAGGGAAAAGTGTGACCATGTATCAAATATATTGAAAGCAATAGTATATTGAATCCACACCAAAACACATGCATATGGCATGTGGGATTTCATTTGGCAGCTCATTGACAGATCATGATGGATCTATATAATTATGCCAAAGAAACACCAAGTTAGGTGTCAAAATCTGTGACACGATGGACAGGTGTAAAAAGAATTGCTAAGCATGGATTTGCACATCTATCGTCGATCGTGTTTCTTAAGAGGTGATTCTACAATGGAGATCATGCGTATCTTAAAGCCAAGCATGGAGTGGTGAAGAATCTGCTCTTGATATATGATCTTGTCCTCCACTCAGTGATTTCTTCACGTTTGGACCAACTGGAACATTCAGCCCGCTTTTCAGGATTTGCGGCTTTTTGCGTCTTTTTGCGTTCACAAACCCAACAGTTCAAAAATTAGTAAACTCTTCAGGGTCCAGGAAGGAAGCAAGCAAGCAAGCAAGCAAGCAAGCACGAGCTGCTCACCTTTGGATCTGGTGTGCTGCTGGGGGGGGGG